AACATCAGGTCAGAAACTTCAGAACCAAATCACTTTCTCACCAAAAGAATTAGGATTTTCCAGAAGGGTGTTTTTTTAAATAGTGGGTGACCACCCATGTTAATGTTAATTAATATCGAGGGACCAACCCAAAGTAGTATTGCCAAACATGTATGTTTTGGACTGTGAGGGTTGATTAGTTTGGGCTCTCAATTAATATGAACTTAACATTAATGGATATGGATGGATGTTTTATTTCCCCAGGAAACTTCACAAAAAAAAGGCTGTTATCTGGGGAAACGCACTGGGTGGGGTACTTTTAGTACAACTTATTTTTTGGTTTATTTGATGCTAGTATTAATTAACCAACTATATAAAACAATCACTAAAAGTCTTTAAACAAAATGTGCGGTATTCAAAATTGATCCAGAATAGGAGTACCGATAGATCATTAGAAATCAGACATTATATATATATATATAGTTTTGAACCCATGGGTTTAGGCCCCCACCCATTAGGGGAACCAACTCTTGTTTGGGCCCCTCTTTCCAAGAAAACTGGGACATTATGCGGATTTAGTCGCCAAAACCCAATATGAAGCTATGAACTCCCTAACTAACAGGTCGGTAGCTAATAGTATTGCTAGTATGTCCCCATCGTGGCAAGGTGGTGCCCTCTAGTGTTGTTTGTTGCTTTGTAAAGCACATTAACTATAGATATAAGATATATCTACAACAAACCATAGAACCTAGTTATAAATCAACCTAGCTAAGTATGGGGGTACCACTTTGTGATAGTTTTTGTTGTCATGTTTGTTCGCTCCCCAGATGTACATCTCAACATTTCCACGCGTGATGAAGGTGTTGATGGTTGGTGCCCCCCGATTTGTGCCGATCAGTCAAGGCCCCGCTTGGTGCTGTTGTCCAAGAAAGCACCAGGCCTGGGATTTTTGGGTCGGTTGGCTTGAAATACCCGGTGAAACATGTGATTTAACGATGAAACATTGGTAGATCTGGTTGATTTTGTCGTTGGTTGAATCCCAAGTTGCGATGATTAAAACTTCTGTATGTATCCAAATTGTGGTTTGGCTGATGATCTTTTTAGTGGGCTTATGGTTATAGCAACCCCCAAAAAGATAGAACAGTGAAATCCTACTGAGATAGTGACTCTTGTATATTTTGTGGTGTTACAAACATGGCGGTATGATGCAGCATTTTTGTATTTGCTTGATAGTTACGAGCGTGGGTTTAAAACCTAAACCCTAAACCCTGGCTTTAATGGGATTATGAACTGGCCCTAGAGGGTGTTGACCACTGCTCAACTGTTTTTTTTTTTGCGCCCATGTATTGGTAGTTACCAGAAAGCTTGCATTTACAGACCAATGCTTTCCAGAGTTCTGACAGGAGTCAACCAAGTCAACGATCATTTCCCGAAGTATCGCCTTGACGACTCTCGGTGCGCAGCGGCAGGCGGCGAAGCCGAAAGCCGTGCCAGACTGGAGGAGTGGTGCACGGATGCCAGGCCGGCCGGGAGAGGGTGGTGATGGGCCTGGTGAGGCTGATTTTCCCCATGGAAAATGCTGATGTTTATTGGAACAATCATCGAACTAATGTGATGTGAATGTGAAGATCGATATGACTTTTGTCTGAACATTTAGGATATGTAGGGGAAAAGCCCCTAAATCCATTGGTCAATCATCATTTTCCGTATTCAATGGCTATGTTTGGGGGTTATACCTAGCCCATTTTCAGAGTAATCCATAAAAACGCTCCGGTCATCAAACGCTGGAAGAATCATCGGTCACTAAATGGTGGATTTTCCAGCCAGGCATGGTTTTGATTACTGGAGGATCACTGTCATTGACAAATTGATTCTGAATCTTCTGTTAAATATCACTAATTCTGCTAAATCCTTTTTTTAAGTGCTAATATTCTGTTAAATATCACTATGCTAAATCATAATTTTAAGCGCTACTTTTTTTGAATCAAATATTGACTTCACAAAATTTCGAGATAAACAACCCCCTTCTGAATATGGTCCCAGGTATTTGCTGCTAGAGCCTCCTTAAAATCTGGCTGAACTTCCCAGGCTATGCTGGGCATTTCATCTCCAAAATGGGGATGGGTCAAACCCTATGGCCTTGCACATTAAAAAAAATATGACTGGGGGAATAAACATTCATTAACCAGACATTTGAGTGGGTACCTAGGGTACCTACGGGTTTTGGATCATGGCCATTTGTGTTTAGATAATGTTGAATCCTTAGATGTTGATCTTGAGCTTCAACCCAGTTTTTTGCCCTCAAAAATGTTTGTTTTTTTGATAAACTATTATATACTGTATATAGGCCCTTATAAAATCCCTTAAAACATGATTTTAAGGCATCAGTCAGCCATGTTTGCGAAAACCGTATCCCAGGCGCGAGTTGGGTCTTCCATCATTGGAGGCTGGGGCGGGGTGGAACGCTGAGATACTGAGTCATACCCTACCAGTTTCAAAAAACCATGGCTGGTTGGGGTTTCCAGGTGGGGAACTAAGCCGAGGCTTAGCAGCTCAGGTTGACCTTCAAGATGAATTCAGCACTTGAGCTGGAATGGGGCTATATATGCCTGAAGATTGCCCGTGGGAACCATTTGTTTTGTGCACTTTGTCAGATGATTATCGCATTTGAGGGTACCTAATGACTTAACCGCCCAGAACGGTGCAGTTCAAAGTTGGACATACTGAAGGTAGTTGTTTCAAATCAAAGCGCGCTGGGTCCTGAATTAGTCAATGGATTGGTTTAAGGGAAAAATTACAGGAAACACCCATATTTCATGGGAAAATCTATGGTTTCCCTTAGATTTTCCCTTAAGCCCATCCATTGAATTTGACAAGTACCTCTGGTAAACATACAAAAAGCTATTGAAAATTGCAATTTATAGTTAGTTTTCCCATAAAAAATGGTGATTTTCCATAGTTTTTTGTATGTTTACCAGAGGGTATGCCAGATCTCAGACATCCCCACGCCGCCACTGGGCTGTTTTTTGGCGACTTGGCAGTTCCTGGTGGAATTCTTTGTTGCTTCTTGTTACGGCATCGGGTGATCAGAACCGTGTGAGCAGATATGAGCAGATGCATAAATGATTACTACAAGGTGAATTATATATATAATTATATATGGCATTCCTTCTATTCCATCAGTAACTGCATTGGCGGTACCAAAAAAAAAGGGGCCGGCCGATTTCGGTCGCCCTGAAATGGCCTTTTGGCACCATAGATCTCCATGTTTCATGGTGATTTTTGTGTCAGATCCCATGGAAAATCACCATGACATCAGCATTTTGGTGGGCGAAATCAGCATGAAATCGTCCAAACATCTCCAGGTCAAGCCTCGGAGCCCTTCCACCAGGAAGAGGAGCAGATCTTGAGATGGAACAAAATGAGAGGTTGGTTATGGCTATGTTTATGGGTATAAGATTAAATACTGCTTGGTGGTTTAAGGAACATTTTTTCTATTTTTCCATTCAGTTGGGAATGTCATCATCCTAACTGACGAACTCATATTTTTCAGAGGGGTAGGTCAACCACCAACCAGAACATTATGGTTAATACAACCCATATTATGGTTATGTTTATGGCCACTCCACTGAATAAACAATAACTGATATATGGGCCACTGGGTCAAAAGCCTGGTAGCCTAGATAAAATAGCTGGTTAATGCATTGTTATTCCCCCAGTCATATGGTAATAATAGGCTTTGAAACATTGCCACATATATATATATATATGGCTCAGGGGTGGTACCCGGCGTTCTCAAAGCCGATGGTTTTTTGAGGGTGCATGACAAGGGCATATATATATATATATGGGCTTGTCACAGCTTGTCTGAAAATTGGGATACCCCCACTTATGGCCAACTTATGGCCATTTAATGGGAAAAAATGATGATAATCCATTGGAATTGGCGATCCCTATTTTCAGGCAAAGCCATTTTTTGAGTGGCAATGAAATCATTTCATATGATGAAATCCTCGCTTTCCATCAAGAAAAAATAGGATATCATATTTATAGAGTAGGTGGTGGTTTCATGTGTTTTTTTTGTAAACAAAAACAACTTCAGGCCTCTTTGGTCACCTTCCAGTAACCAGTAGATTTAGGTTAGATTGCTAGTGGTCTGAGCAACTCAAATGATGAAAAAATGGAGGAGTTGAAGTTGACCCCAGATTTGGGGACCGCCAAATGTTCTACCATGACAGCCACGATAAAAATTGCAGGGTCGGTCTGCTGATTGCTCAATTCAAAACCGACTCATTCCAGGGAAGCATGTGGATAGTTTTTCAATCCCTATGGATCCAAACACTGTCTGAGAAGGTACTGAACCCTCCAAATCATAGTAAATTATACCTCCAATACTTGCTAAGAAGGCACTTGGATCCATAGGGAATGTGTTTTAGATTTAGATTCTTTCAGCTTTACTTACTCCGAATTGGGTGAATCTCCTTGTATCCTTCTGCCTTTCTCCGCGCCGTGGAATTGCGACATTTCCTGGGCCCACATGGAATCGCTTGGTGGAATATTGTCAGCCCAGGAAAGAGGTATAGTCACTCAATATTTGCTTACGGGTTTTTGTATGGAAGAAGTCATATTTTGATGGTACAAAATAGTTGGTGTTCATCCCTTGATGAGTGTAAAAAGATATGGAGCCAGAACCATTTCAGGATCTGGTAGATATGGTGTACTTCTCTACTTTGGAGCAGCGGGGGACTTAGGGACTTATAAGTTATGAAGTAAGTTCACTTGTAAGTGGCTATGCGGCATGGCAAGTTAGTTATAAGCTTCTAATTGGTTCCCAGGATGTGGTAGGTTAGATTGCACTTACTATTGATTTAGGGTGAGATATAAGTTTTATAAGTGAAATGATCATGACTTAAAGATCACTTAGCGACTACTTAGTTGAGATTTTGAAACGTACGTTTGGGGAAGTGTTTTGGGTTAGCTCTGAAATCACGATGGTTTTTGTAGGCATTTTGGTTCCAGGCATGTCGGTCGAAAAGCAGTTGGAAGCGGCCCAAAAATTCCTAAGAGGAATTCGGTCGCTGACCTCCTACGCGGAGGTCAGGGACAAACAGGCTTCGGGTCTTTTGAAAGCCTTGGAGAAAGTGCAGTGCTTCACGGCTGCTCAAGCGGCAGCGTTGCTGGCACAGGTGCAGCCCGACTTATGGGGTGAGTCTCAAGTGGACTCATTCCGTGAGAAGGTTGCGCTGAAGACGAGGCCGGTGGAAAGCGATCAGCCACGTGCTGTGACCCAGGACTTTTCGCTGCTGCCATATTATTTAAATGATGAGTTGGCAGCAGCGATTGGGCAGGTGGATGGTGACGCAGAGCGGTTGCTGTTTCGCTTGTGCCATCATGCGGCGCAGCTGAGCCTAAGGAATGCCTCCGAGGCGACCAAGGCCACATTGGTCGTGATGGCTCACTGGGCCTCATGCAAGCGTGGAGCCTTTTCTCCAAAGCAGCAGCATGAATTGTTTCTGCGTCACAAGCCGGCTGTGACCAAATATTTGGTAGCACCACCAGAGTCTCAATTATTGGTGGAGTTGCCGCTTCAATGGCAAGATTTGGATCCGCAGATAATCCAACGTGCGTTTCCTACGGGGAAACCTGCAAGCATGGCAGAGACTGCGAGGGACATTTGCGACTATGTTCGTCGCTTCCCTTTACGGAGGGATAATAAGTTGCTGCAAGGCACGGGTGGTACGTCCAGCACAGTGCCTGCCGGGTTCCCAAGTGGAGTTTTGCCAGTGGAGGATGTCTGTCGAGTAGTTGCCGCATGCAGCCAATCATTCCAAGCGCAAGTGCAGCGGCAGCAGTCGAGCCAAGCAGTGCATTCCACGGCATCTCCAGTGTTGGCCATTTGCGACGTATCAGCTGACGAGCGCGCTGCTATGCTCTTAGCGTCAGAAAGGGACCCACGTGGTTCCGACCACAAGACTGTGGACATGCCTGTCGCTGCAGGGGAGGACCGACGTGGTCCTGAAACTATGAGTGTCGAGGATCAATTAGCTGCGCTCCGAGAAGATATGGGACAAGGCAAGTCAAATTCAAAGGAAGAGGAGATGAAAGTACCAGGTGCAATGAAAAAACCGGCGTCTTCCAAGAAATGCGTGGCTGCGGCAAAGCCAAAAGGCAGGCCACGCGCCAAGCCCAAGGCAGGAAAAAGGGTGGGGAAGACATCCAAGCAAAGGTTGAAGCGACCAGCGGCCGCGAGTACGCCTCGGAGAGCCGCGCCTACGGGGCGCGGGTCAGCCACGGCAAGCACCAGTGGCGCACTGTCACGCGCAGAGCGTCGGCAGAGGGTTCTTGCCGTGGTGCCGCGCAAGATCCGGCAGAAATATGCTGACGGCTGCGCGAGATGCCGCTTCACCACAGGGTGTTCGCCCTCGTGTTGGTTCCAACGGGGTTTTGACGTGTGAGGCGCTACATGACATCGGGTGGTAGAAATTAGGAACACTTAGGACCTTTCTATATGTACGGGAACACCTTGGCAGATTTTGCGATGGTAAAAGAATCGTTTCATGTAGTGTGGATGCATGTTGTGGTACTTGTTCGGCAGTGACACGGCATTGGAAACGGTTTTGTTGCTCGGACTTGTAGATCGGGGGGTGCAATGAAAGGCTGTGCCGTTTCTTTCGTTTGAGCTGCCTGGAGGTCGCCCGTTGGAATTTAATGTTTGTATTCTCTTTGCAGGTTTAATTTGGCTCAGGAACGTTGATACGGATCTGCATATATATGGTGACGATCTGAAGGACACAGTGATTTCATGAGTCAGTGTAAAACTGTATGTCAATCGTCTCTTTGTTGCATGTCAAGGTGCCTTATTCTGGTTCTGTGTCGTGTGCTGCAGGACTCATGGGGCCCAAGAAGGAGGAGAAGGAGGAATCCGAGTATACGTACGAGAGCGAGGCGGAGGCCGAAGACGAGGGAGAGCCGGAGCCTGCGCCACCTCCAAGGACTGGCGCAGAACGAGCACCTCCCGAGCGGTCTTCGAAGGCAAAGCCGCCTACGTCGGCCACGCCCGCAGTCGCAAGTGTGGCCACGGCTGCACGACCACCGTCTCCTGCCAGGGACTCTAGCAGCGATCGAGCCCCGCGGGCACGTTCGCATCGCTCTCGGTGCACGGGCCCGGGGACGTGATCCGGACCGCAGATCACGGTCTCGTCGCCGCCATAGGCGACGACGAGAGGAAGAAGCCACTCGTGCCAGTGGTCCTAGCAGCCCCACGCGGGATGCCAAGCCTCGCGAGCCATCGATGCCTCCACCGCCACCACCCCCAAGATCGAAGGGGAAGAGCAAAGGCAGAAACCCGCTGTTTTGTCCCCACTGTCGGACTAAGGTCAAATCAGGGGGAGGAACATCTGGCCTGAGTCAGCACATGTTTTGGAACGAATCATGTCTGACGTGGCAGCGGTACGGCAATGGAGATCGGGGGGTGACGTGGGAGGAAGCCGCGGAGGCTGCGCATGAGCTGAAGACACAGCGTGAGCGGGAAGCTCTTGCGGAGTCGGACGGAGTCATTCCGGCCAAATCCCTGCGGCATCGTCAGACGTTGGAGGCGTCACAGCACGAGGGGGAGACGGAAGAGACCGTTCCACGTGAACGGAAGGAGAAGAAACGGCGTCGTCGCCGTCGCCGCAGCCCTTCGCCAGATGTGCGCGCAGGACCGAAAGGTCCACGCCGTCGTCGACCCAGAGATCGGGATGGCGGTTCGGCTAAGCGCCGCTCCGTGCCAGAGGAGGTCTGGATCAAGGTACCGCGCTCGGCTTTGCGGGGCTAGGACGTGCCTGTGATCGGTTACCCATCTGAGAGCCAAGCAAAAAGGGAATCAGCGGCTTTTATTTGGGGGCTTGCACCTCATTTCCCTGAAAGCGCAGAGCATGACAGTTGGTGCGTGGAAGGGATCGGCTGGCTGTGCTGCAGGTGGGTGTGACTTGTTCATGTGCCAAATATTATGCACACATTGCAGCCGTTTTAGGGTTCAAATCATTGAGTGGCACTGTATTAGCCTATATATATATATATATGTGTACAAACATGTCAGGCATCGACATCTCACAGGGAAATTAAATCTATAGATGGAATGTGAATATATACTGACATGGACATGCACCGACAGCACGATTCTTGCTGGCATTCTGCCGTAGTGTCTCGAGCTGTGCGGTGCGGCATGGCTTGGGCAAGCCGGGGAGCGGCTACCCGCGAGGACGCCTGAGCTACGTGCTCTTGAAAAGAGGGATGGCAGTCAATGTTTCTTTCTCAATCGCTCCTCAAGGCTTAGAAGAAGTCTTTCAGGAGATGGTGAAAACAATTCCTGAAAAGCCCTTCGAGGAGTTTACCTCTACGTGGGGGACGGTCTGTCGCTGCTTGGACTCCACGGGAGCTCGGGCATGCGCAGAGGGAAGGGCTGCAGACCGCAAGGTCTTGACACGTCTAAGCACCTTGTCGCGCTACGGGCAATGGGGTGTGACGCCGCTGGATGTGCCGCCGCATCCAAAAATACAAGGCGCTTGTTTGATTCCGGCGTCCTACGCGGAAAACACGAATGTCTGGCTTGAACAATTGACTTGGAATCAGATGTACCTGTCGGACGACTTGCATCGCGCTGGCAAATGGTTAAATATCTTGGCATGGCACTTCTCTAGGCGAGAAAATCGCACCAGGGAATTTCTCTGGTGTCGACGCTGTGCATGGCTTCTACGGGAAGCTCGACGCAGCCTACGGGCTGCGAAGGTGGCGACAGAAGCATCACTATAGGGTTTCACACCAAAAAAGTCAGACGTTGTCCGTGTCTGCGGATGTCTGCGGATGTCTGCGGATGTCTGCGGACCGAAACCATGACACCGACGTGTCTGCGGCACTTGCCTGCGGAACGTGGAAAAGGTCATCTGGGAGGGGGTTTCATCGTGTCTGCGGTGTCTGCGGACGGGGAGAAGCCGGCTAGGACGCTTCGGACTTGTCTGCGAGGTGTCTGCGGGATGCTTAACCGGCAGAAACGAGTCTTTTGAGGGGTGTCTGCGGGATTGCTTGGAAAAGTGAAGAAATACTACAGGGAATGACAAAGGAAAGTAACACATCTCACCCATAACAGAAGGATGCCGTTTGGGATGCATGTCATTATTCGTGGTCCGTTTACATCGACATCTGTTGGCACACCCAAATTTCCTATTATGATACGCAGAACTAGCACAATTAATCGGTCATGGAAATTCCCAGTTTTGCCAACTTGTCCGCTTTGCTGCAGCACTCGGCTCGAGCACTGCCCGCAACGACAATAGCGAGGCACGAAGCTGACGCATCTGTCATCGCAATGGACGAAACAGCGGCCGCACCTGCACAGCCAGCCACCCAAGAGGTGGTTTGCAAACGGTGCAACAGAAAGGTCGCTGCAGAAACAGGGCGCGTGCATGGGAAAGCGTTCGTGTGCCAGCCATGCGCGAGCATCGAACGGGCCATGCACCGCAACTTAGGCACAGCTGCAGAGATCGGAACCTGGTCAAGCGAAGATTGCCACGCATTCTTTCAGAGGCTGCATGAAACCAAAGAGCAGCAGGGCAACTTGCAATGGGCGACGATCCGAGCTGCGCTTATCCGCAAGTTGACAGAGCGGAAGATTTCCAGCTTCGCTGCGACAACGACAGTGACACCATTGCCTATGTCAGTTCTCCTCGCTCAGGGCTGGGAGAAGGAAGTGGTGGAGCGTTTCGAGTCAGAGCACAGCTCGACTTACGACACCTGGGTGTACAAAGTGCCGATCACGAAGCTGACGTGGAAAGATACGTTTGAGTCGATTCAAGAAAAGATACTTGAACAAGAGAAGGCCGCTTCCAAGAACCGTGCCGGGAAAAAGAAGCAACAGGATGACCTGGATGTGCCTGTTGCAGCCTCTTCCAAGGAAGAGGCGTCGGGTAGCCAATCGGAGAAAAAGGACCTACAGGAGTTGCGAAAGCGCATTGCGCACAACGCAAAGGTCGCCGGCATGGCCGCAAAGGCTTTGGGACCCCTGTCCACAGCTGAGGCGTCTGTGACCAAGGTGCTGGCCAAGGCAGAAGGCAAAGACGGAATCGATGCCTCTGCGCAGGCGCTTTGCGAAGAGAAACGAGGTGTGGTCACAGCGTGGTGTCAAAGCTGTCGCGAGACGATCAACGCGCAGGAGAAGCTGAAGGCCTTACCTGCCCCAGAGGCAGTGGAACGGCTGGACAATTTGCCATTTGACGCGTCGGAGATGAAGATAACTTTGAAGACTGTCGGTGAAGCCCAAAAGGCACTGAAGAACAGCTTGCCGAAGAAGGTGGCAGCACCTAAGCAAAAAGCGGAGGACGCCACGGGCGAAGCCGCAGGAGGGCAGCCTGCACCCAAGCGGCGTAGAGCCAAGTCGAAAGCCTAAGAGGCGCTATAGGATCGCATTGGATCTCTCTGTCAGAGCTGCCGTGGCTAAATAGAAGTGAATGCGGCGATGCTACGGGCAAAGCCTGCATGGGGGCCATTGCAGCGTCGTGCCTAAGAGGCGACAGAAAAGATCGGAAGCGATCATTCTCCAAGTGAGATTTTGGATTGCAGCAGTGACATGGGGTGATGTCACTGGGACCAACGTGTCACTAGTGTAAGTTCAAGACCTGAGGAGTTGAACTATCAACGTCCATGTGGTGAAAAGAAAGTGTTCCGTGCTGCTGCCGTCCCAATGAAAGGTCATCCCTCCAAATGTGATGCAACATATATAACATGTTTTACGAATATGGGAAGGTAGGAACGTTGGTAGGTCATATTTAAAAAAAAAACGACAACGTTTGTTTCGAGGGAGTGTGTGTTTACTTGGTGCTTCAAATGTTCTGCAGCAGTCCATGCTCACGTAGGTTGCTAGGCTCAAGGAGATGTAGCATTAGGGATGGCGTCAAAGAAACGCAAACTGAGCGTAGATGACGATCCACTGACCCAATTTCAAACTTTGCGGCAGCTGCCTCGTCTCAGTCGGGCAGATTGCCGTCAAGTCATTGGTTTGCTACGAGCCGATGAGGCGGGGCAAAAAACAGCTTCCCGGGAGTACCACATGTATCCCAAAGCGAGCAAGCTGATGCAAAAGCAGTGGTCCGGAGAGAAAAAAGACGTTCCTGTCTTTGTGAATTCCTTGCCGGACTTACTGCAGGCCAAGGTCGATGCTTGTCCCCTGTACAGGCGACTCTTGTCCGAGGCCTGGGAGGACTACGATGGAAAATTGACGCTGGTGCTTTTCTCGGATGATGCAACACCAGGCAACATCCTGGCTCCCAGACAGCCGAAGAAATCATGCATGATGTACGCTAGCTTCATAGAACTGAAAGTCCTATTCTTGGATGGCTGCTGGATCCCGTTAAGCAACAAACGCACAACGGAGATGACGAGTGAGCAATATTCCCATGCGGAATATTTGCGATGCGTGCTTGAGGCCGTGCATGACACGGCTCAGCACGGCATCCCGATCACACTTCGGCAAGGCCATTCCATGCTATGGATTAGACGAGTCGTTATATTGGGAGATCACGAAGGCCTAAGGGCCTTTGCGGGATGTAAAGGTGCAGCCGCGCTGAAACCATGTTGGCGCTGCGTCAACGTTATTGCGGGCCACCGCGCCTTGCCTCCGGGGCATGTGCATCTGGGCAATGCAGACTCTGCGTTGCTGCGTCCCCAAACGGATGCGGGTCTGCAGGCGGTGGTGGCACACCTACGTGGGTGCACCACGAAGAAGGCACTGCAAGAGGCAGAAAAACTCTTGGGCTGGTGCCTATCCACCATGGAAAAGGGTGTCCTTGGCTCCACAGCCTTGAAAGAGTGGATATCCCTTGATTCCTTCTATGTCGATTCCATGCATCAGTTCTATTCCAATGGCTTAGTGAACCAAGACATTGGTTTATGGTATCAAACCTTTCGAAAAGCCGGCTTCGACCTCTTGTACCTGCAAAGGTGGATGCAAATCGGATGGAAAACTCTAGCAGGGGGACCCACTCCAATGGAATGTGTCCACGACAAACTGTTCAGAGAGGATGGAGATTTTCGCGGCGATGCAGAAACTACGTTGCAAGCACTGCCACTGATAGCCAGCTTCTCCAAGGAGATGCTTGGCAATCACGACGGCATGCAGTCCGCGAATGACGCGTTGTGGGCAT